AAGGACAATTATGACATGGCGAGCGAGTATTTCGTACTTCAATTTTATGGCTTTCCGTCACTCACAAGTTAGTTTGATGTTACGTACATTATTAACATTACAGAATCCACATATTCCTGCCAGTTTTAATATGTATTTTGTAATCAACAAGTGTGTAACACCGGTCAAAGTTTGACACTTCTCTGGCCATTATCTCCGTAACCGTTCAACTTTGGACATAGGTGTTTTGGGTTATATTGGCATACTTTAACATAAGGAACACCCTCCCGAAGTTTGGTCCATTCCTCCTGGGACACCCTGTATATCAGTCCATGTGTTTGCAGACATTTGTACACAGTCTAACAAAATGCATATCCTTTCTATATTCATTTGGATACAAGGATTGAGATTTTGTGAATTTTCAGAAATTAGGGCTTGGGGCCAGAAGGTGATTTCATCTAAAGCATTGACATAATTATTGTGATGATTGTGATGATACAGCATCATTTAAAGAAATAAATTATAAGAAGTAACTTTATATACACATAACTGAATAAATACATGCATTCAATATCACATGTGACATGCAGCAGACATGTTTGTGGCGACGGTATAGGTCCTCCAATTCTGCATGAATGTTCCCAGAACCTTGTCATCATTACCCATCCTCTCTCGAGATCTCTCCATAATAGGAGAGGATGATGGGCTGCATGTCTTTCAAGTGATCTGATCTATGAGGTTTCACAATTAAAACTTCGAAATCATTTATATCTGTGTGAAATTCTTTCCAAAAAATAAGTCAGAATTTCTGATATTTCTTAATGTTTCAAGGTTCAGTTGCAACATTCGCATGAGTTTAGTTACCACTCTTTTGTTGTTAACAGGTCCTTGCAAAGCAGGAAGTGTCACGAAAAGTGGGTCTCGCACTACAACCTGAGGAGGAAGCGCTCAGGAGTCAATTAGAGGCACTTCAGAATCAGCTTCATGCTCCTGCACAGTTCAAGGTAGAATTTACAATAAATTAGATGTCACATTTTTCAGACAAGTTCTGACAGTGGTGGATATTAAAATTATGGTCTAATAGAATGTGGAGTTTGGTAACCCCGAAGTTAGAGGCAGCAAGTTCTCATGAAATGTTTGTACTTACCTGTCACATCCCAGAAGACAGTAATCTTCATACATTCTTTCTAGAATATTTTGATGTAGTGAAGTACAGTAATTTGAAGAATGCTCTCTTCTGGAATGTGGTGCCATGTAGATATTGCGTAAAATGACTATTTGGAGGAATGTATCACCTCCATTTTCAGGTATGAAAATCTGCATGCAAGGAACAAGCGTGAGCAGATGGCTGCATGCTATGTTCCTCTGAAACATCGGTTTACAAAGTATCTACATGGCGCCACATCCCAGAAGATGACATACTTCATAGTCACCGCCTTGAAAACCTCAAATCTTATACAGTAATTTGGTTTCTGTCTGTAGGGTCAAGTAAGTGAATTGCTGTCACAAATGCGAATGCAGAGACAAGAGGCGGCACACAGAGAAGTTGAGCGCTACTCAATGGATCCGTCTGTACAGGAAGATATTAAACAGGTGAGACATTGTCAGCATTCATTAATTCTCATCTCAGATGTTACATAAAGTTCCAGAGAATATAAAGATAAAACTAAGCAACTGTAATTTTCATTTTTAGCAAACTCATCTCATTTTATAACAAAAGGTAGGTTTTTGGCACATTTGCAACAGAAAGATGCAAAATTGTGTGTACTGTAAATTGAAAAATCAGTTTCCTCTTCAGGATTTTGACATGTATAAAATGTATCAGACTCCAAGGACAAAAGGCATACTTAAAAATTATTGACAGTATAACTGTGAGATATGTGAAGGACCTTACATTGGTAATCTTGAGCATTAAACTGGGAAATCACTATTTTCATGATTTTACTGTTTGTTCTGCTAAATCATTTAAAAATGTTTTCTTCTTATAACATTTCAGTTTCTGGTTATAGAGCAGAATTGTATGGCCCACTTGATTGAAACAATCCAGACTGACATGGCCACACTGAAGATTATCAAGGAAGGAATGACTAGGTTATTACAAGAACACTGATATTATGGAATATTTAAAAATTAATTTTTCTTGCAGGCTTCAAGAATGATGTTATACTCAGTTGTATATTCAAATTGTAATTTTTCCACAATTATGTACCACTAATTTTTTAAATTCAGTTATGTTCATTTTATTTTATCTCATTTATAGTTGTATTTCAAAATGAGAGATCATTCTAAGGTTTCACTTTATGTCTGCATACAAAATTACAGGGGAAAGAGCATTTTCTAGTGGTATGAGTCAGTGTTCAATCTTGATTTAAAAGAGAAATTTACTTAAACTTTGTAAAGTATGAAATTCCTGGACTCAGATTAAATTTACAAACACTTTTGGTTTGGATCCAATTCAGCAGTATTGAAGTGGGGCTGTGGACTAGATTTGTATGTAATATGCAGTGCTGACACTGAATACTGAGTTTCATTAAAATGTGTTGAATACTTTCTGAACTTAAACATCTGGACAGAAACAACTCTCCCATTATGCATTCCTTTACATATTTTGTGAAAGCTCACATAGAAATTGTACCATGAAACAATGTGTGTTATATATACATATGAAGAAACATATTTTTCAATGCAGAAGAGAACTACAGATTAAGGATACAGCTTTTCAGTGTTGAGGGCAAACTGTAGCCAATTCTATAAATATATGTATCACTGTAATAATGTCTGAATAAATTGTACTAGTAGTAATCTGTGAATCACAAACTTACCACTGACAAGGTACAGTATCTCTCACACATGTGCAGGGTTTCTTCGTGGGTATGTGTAACAGAGAGCTACCTGCCCTCCAGTTGTCTTGAACTGAACTGAAATTAAAAACAATGAAGTACAAACAGTATATATGCAATTGAGAAATTAAATTAAATTTTAGAAATACTATTGTAAGGAGAACAATTTGAATTAACTTTTAAGAGCCTAGCAACACCGTATGGAGACCTTTAAAGTATAGCCGAGTGGCTGTGCGACACTGCATGGGTACACGCAGTCCACACGTGCGCACAGTGTTTTAAAATCTAATTTTAGGATAGAAATTCTTGTTCTACTTACATTATTTTTGGGCATCCGCTTTATAAGTAGACAGTCTTCCCTTCTGCGTCTTCTAACTGAATGCAGTCAGACGTCGCAATTCATGCACTTTGTCCAGATGTAACTCCATTTCCCACGCGAAGAGCACACACGACACCTCAGTCTCGTATTAGAGAAGTCGTCCAGTGATGTCAAGTGGCCTCCTCTAATCGTTAACGCTTATAAAACATCACAATTTCAACTATCCACCATGGCCCCATTTTGCATGGTAGAAGCCAAAATTGAGAGGCCGCTGATAAATGACACCGATTCAGAATGCAGTACAGACGACTCTGAAAGTGGCGAGGAAGCAAGGGGGAATTGCGGGGATATTCCAAGAACAGTACCTCTGTGCATTTAGTCCGAGATATAAACAGGCATAGTTTCTGAAGGACAAAGTACAATAAGACTTCGCCCACACTCATGCATACAGAAAGGTTCTGACGTGACTGGAGAATGTGCAATATAAACTTCCACCCCTTTTGCCAGATAAGACATAGTAAGACAGTATGTCAGCAGCATGCATTTATACTGCAGAAACGTTTTGTGCAGAAACTTTATGCATATTTGTGGACAGACAAACTTCCTCCCCTTTTGCCAGATAAGACATAGTAAAACAGTATGTCAGCAGCATGCATTTATACTGCAGAAATGTTTTGTGCAGAAACTTTATGCATATTTGTGGACAGATGCTCAAAATTGGGAAAAAACATTTTTTTGGAATCAGTGTAACAATTTTTACAGATTCTAAAATCTGTAAATTACAATATCTGATTCTATATACTGTCGCGTATCGGGCGTATATCGCGACAAATAAATTCTCGATNTTTATCACAAAAATTGTAGAAATCACAGCATTTTCAGTAACATGCTTACAATTTTTAATACTCTACAATGGCGGACATTTAAATTAACTCTGGCCTGCTGCCATTACGGGAATTTAAGTGGCCCGCCTCTTAAAGGTTAAGAGAAACTCTCCTGTAGCACGAGATCTGAGGTTCTCCCAGCAGTGAATATACTCTGAAGATTGAAGCAGCAAGTTCCTATGAAACAACAGTACCTGCCAAAGGGCAACACATCCCAGAGGGCTATTTTCCTGATCTCCTGCAACATATTCAGTTGCGTGAATTCATCCTCCATCAGAAATATACACCCCCCCCGGTCTTAGTTTGCAAGCAAACTATACTGACCGAGTGCCTTCCACTTATCGGGAAAGTTAGTGCCAACTTTTTGTGGATAGGAGGTGTCATGTGGTCAGCACAATGGATCCCCATGGCCATTAATCTCGGTTTTCCAGACTGGAGCCACTACTTTTCCATTCAAGTAACTCCTCAATGAGGCTTACGGGGCTGAGTGAACCCCATTTCAGACCCACAATTTCTCAGAAAATCTGGTAGTACTGGGAATCCAACCCGGGACCTCTGGATCTGTAGACAGGAACTCTGACCACTAGCCCATATTGGCAAGCAGATTCTAAATATCTTTTAGACTTGGTCCCATGACATGGGTGCACACCAGATGACCATCTTCCCTTCATTTTACACAAACAATAAATGTATAATAAAGTTTCTAAGGATTAGAGGGTGGAAATGAGATGGGAAATTATATTTAATATAGGAAAACAAATGTTTGCTTTATTTACTATATGTAATTGAATGAATGAAATATAAGAAATATTTTCCTTACATACAATATAAAACATGACACACCATTCCTAGATTTGTCAGACATATAACAAATTTTACTACAATCTCTAATGGGAATGTACTTATAAATGAACAGATAGAGGTACCTATATCTAAGAATCCACATTCCAATATCCAAGGGTGGACTACCCTTACACTGTCCTGGTAAGAATATGAGGGCCTCGAAGCCATTCTGGACATACTTCTGCATACAATCAGTCCAAAACTTACCGTTCTCTGGGCATTAATTCACATGCTAATTATCATTTCTTCATACACACAAAAACTACAAAATCACTTAGACTGGATGGATGGATGGATGTATCTCAGATCTGTTATTAAGTCTATTTATGTTGAGCTTCTTCTAGACTTAGAAATGTATTTGAGTGAAGGCCTTTTGACGGATGCACAAAAGCCCAAAATTTTGTTTCCACATCAAAATAGAAGTTTCAGCAACCCCCCCCAAAAAATCAACTCCAAGAAAGGGATGTATGTGAATATAAAAGAATCCTGTGTCATATACAAATAGTGCTGTCCACTAGTGTACTAAATTAACACTTCCATTAGAAAAATGGCCTTTGTGTACAATCTTACTGAATGATTCTAGATTTGAATGTCTATCTTCAAACGAATGTCATCAAGGACTTTAATAGTTTCATTAAAAACAAAATGATTTCAAGCTACATTCATTAGTATCATTAGGAAATTTATGTGTTTCATATAGCCAGTATACTGGCATTTATTTTAGTTTTAATTCTTGGATCCTTCGTATCTGCATTTGGATCACTATACTTATTATATATACTGTCACATGTTAGTCACTAGACATGCATGAGAAGTAAACTGTTCATTTGATCACAGTCTTCCCCATCCTGATCTGTTACACTGTAACAGCTTCCGCAGACAATGCAATATCTCCAGTAACAAAACTGAAGACTGTTACAAACAGCATAAAATTAGTGTCCCTTCATTTCCTAGCAGAGTTTACTGATACAACAGTTACACATGCAGAGTCTTACGCTATGGTTCTGTCTGTGTTGCAATGAAAATTTGACAAATTCAATCATTGTGCCACAACCCTTTGGCATATAGTAATATAAATGTTCGGATTTTAAGCAATATATATTAACTTTATTCTTTTGTGCATCTGCCTATCCAAATCAAAGCTTTTTAAAACAATTCTAAGTGTACAAAAACAATAACCTGCAAACATGAGTATGAGGCCGGCAACAAACTACGCGAATATCACTGGCACATCTTTCAGCCCTGTCCATATTAATGGTACCAATAATATACAGTGCTATTAACAATGGATGCCTGCACCTTTTAAATAATTCTCACACTATATGTAATCTCATGTATTACCTCAGGTATTAACTAAGTAACTCTCATGTTGCAGTTAAGCAGGCAGCTTAAAAACAATGAGACCACTTTTAATATGAACACTTCTGGAATTTGACAGTGTCAGTAAACAACCTTGACACCTTTTCATAATTCAAGATATCATATGTAGTTCTGTTCATACAAAGGTAGTATAAGACATATTTTCATAAATACTTCATCATGGAAAATGTTAAGTACAAAATTTAATAGTGAAAAATTTTCCAAGATTGTAGCCTACACACTGTAACAGATTCAAGACTGTTAACAGCTGTAGCAACATGACAACCCGCAAACTTTTCTCGTGCTATATCAGTGAAAAAGTAACATGTACATGTGAATTTGAAAAAAGGAAATTTGTCGAACTGTTTTCTGTGCCCTGCTCACATTAAAATCATCTGCACCACATGTTACATGATAATGAAAATGACTGACAGAAGGAACTGCAGCTTTAACTTGGAATTGATACCATGGCAAGAGCTTTCCATTCCATAATTCACACAGTTAATTTAATTTCTGAAGGTGAGAGAGGGGTATGCAGAAAAATTTGTGCTGGATTCAGCCCTTATGAAACCAGAGCTCTTTGCATAAAAAGCCAGTACTTTACCTGCAGACCTTAATGTTTGCACAATTCTGCCATATGTCATTTACTGCTTCATACAACATTTGTTGTTGATACAGCATGATTCAGTTTTTTTTTACATGTAATACTGCAGCCACAGGCCAGATCCTGCTGACACCCTGGGGATGTGCTTGAGCTCATATTAAGCTGTGTCCCTTCTATCAGGCATTATCACTAATGTAGCCACATAGAGAATAGGTGAATCAAGGTCAGAAATTGATTCATTCAGTGTCATGCCCACATCCTGGGGTTTTACCTGCTGAGCCAACCACTTGAATTTACTAAACTTGCAATGAAAATGGGCGGAGGGGATGACAAAGAATTGACATTCACTGTGTATCAACTCTTTCATACTTAGCAACCTACGCTTAATAATCCAACTAATCAGTAATATATATACTCACTGCTTGAAGTACTGACGATAATGGTAAATAAACCGTAAAAGCAATGAACTACTGCATACTACTTTGCATAATTTTCAGCTCCTGAATGATATCTGTTGGAGAAATGACATTTACGTACAAGGGAGTGACAGCCAGCCACTTGACGGAATCAGCACTGACATTCAGTAAGATTCAACATGTCAGATCATGTAGTTAACATGTGGGCAGATACCAGCAAGCCCAACAGCCATAAGTAAAGGGGTTTATCACAATTCAGTATTGGAAGTGTTAACATTTTATAAATCAGCAATGTGGAGTTATTGTCTCTTTCTGCACTACAACCATTAACCTTATGAAAAAAAAAACGTATTGGGAGTTCAACAAGATCTCTGGTATGGTGATTTTGGTCCACATTATGCATTCAAAATAAAATCTCGTAACTTCCTGATGGTAAGGTTAACAATCTAACTTTTTATCCAATAATGGCACACCCTCAAAGATGTTTTAGACAGACATCAGTTTTGTTCACTCTTGAACTTTAATACACTGTTTACTTTTTTGAATTTTTTTTTAATTTTGTCTCACACTGGTGGTGTTACCATTATGTACACATTGGACTAGTTCAGAAACATTGAAGTGTGCTAGTTTTCTATCAGCACCTACAAGAACATTTTGTATTTATTATGGATCACTGAAGCTAACAGTTTAACAGACTTATATGAAATAAAATAATTTTTGCTGCAGAAACCTAATTTTAGCAGACTATAAGATTCATAAAACTTATTATCTTCAATATTAACACACTGTCTGAACATGTTAAGGCACTATATTATCAATAAATTCTGAAATGACAACTATTTCTTACTTTGCACTGCTCCTTCATGAACTCAAGTGTCCTTTAGAACCCATATCAACTTCCCAAATTACAGACCCTGCAACAGGTGATGGTTCAGATCTTGCTTACATAAATCCTTCTTGATTCATTCTAACAGCTCAAAGGTTATCATACTTTGTCTTGTCACTGTTTAAACCTTACCCTTGGAAGATATCACGTTCTTGAGAAGCATCAAGAGAAAACAAGAAGGGACAGAATTAGAAACATAATTTCTTTATAAAAATGTGGAATTCAGAATTTGTTAATGGCTTAGCCATGTAAAAAGAATGGCTATGATATCGAAGGCATTAGAATTGGAACTTAAAGAAAAAGACACCCACAGGATGACCTAAAACTAGACTGTTTAGTCAGGACCTGGGATGATGCTAGAGACTTTCTGTTCATAGGTCTACAAAAAATTAGACAATGTCAGAAGAGGAGGAGGAAGACAGTGAAATAAAACTATTCCTCCCTTTGCTTTTGGGAGGGGTGGGGGGGTCTAATATTTCCTATATTGTTACTCTATAGAGTATGTTACTTGCCACAGAAAATAAGATGTTAGAATTCTCTGGGACTAAAAGTGCTGTTGCCACCTCTTAGAACAATTTCATAATGTAAGAGAATGCTAAAAAAACCCTTAATAATTCAAATACATAACCATTCCTTTGAACTGTAGTACTACCCATTCTATTTTGACAGGCAACATTTGCACATAAAATACATAAAATTTAAAAACAATGTCATAAATTAACATGAAAATCTCCACTCAGAATATTATACCAGTTAATATTATTCTAGCATAACAGCCAATATTGTGGAAAAATTATATAAAAATTAAGCTTCCTCGAAGTTTTATTAATAAAAATCATAAATTACATGTATAACATAAATACTCTCACCACAGAAGGCAGTCTCAACTTTTCATACCAAACTTCCCTCTTGTGTGCAATCACATAAGCAGAATGCCACATGAACAGACATATATTACACATACTCACAGAACGCTCAATAAGGCATCTTCAATTAATTGTAAGTAACTCGTTTGTGAATTATTTAGTCATACATTTGGTAAACACAACAAATATGTAATTATCATGAGTACTACCTTCTTGGAGGTAATGCTGTGTAGTCCAGTACACATCTGACATTTCGTAGGAACACACTGCCTTCATCCTCAGGGCTGAAGAGGACTAGCAAGGAACCAACAAGAAGCAGGTGGAAAGCACAGATCTGAAGATGTAGGCAATATGCTCCTCCAAAAAAACATTGATGAACTTCTACTGGACTATATGGCATTACATCCTGGGAAATATGTATTTTTCATGGTTGCCTAGATCCCTAAATTCAACCAATAACCACCATATTTATTTGAAGACATTCTTCCTTCATTATTTGAATACAAAAAGATATTTGCTTTTGTCTGAGAGAAACTAAGCAACACTACATAATCAACCACTGTTTCCCTGTTGTCTGGAATAACTGTCCCTGTGCTTAACCGTTCAGCGTGGTTTGACGTGTATGTTTCGTCAAGGTATTTAAATCGTCTGGGGGGGTTCGACGTGTATGTTTCGTCCAGCTGCACACCTATGTTATAACGCCCATAATAATTGATGGTTTTGCTGTAGATTGTTAGATTTTTCGCTGGCCTGTTGTCAGGAGAACTGTATTTAATGACGCACGAGTTTAAGAGCGCTAAGTCATCGTTACATATGCCTGTCTTGCAGCAAATTTCCTGTGGCTATTGCGAGCGTTCTACTGTTATGAAGGCGTGTTTTCTTTGCTATGAAGTTATAAACAGCAGAGACGTGATATGTGCTGTGTTTATAATATCATATTGCCCTGAGCTGGCCACACTAACACACTCAATTGGAATTCTTAGAAGAGGGATGTCCAAAAATTTATTCTTGCACGATCGATTGATTTCGCACAGTATATAGCACCCAGTTCTTAGAAAAACGTCACGAATTAAGGCAGAACACTGTGGTCACCCCCTGAGACGATACGGATGTGTGTGGGGGAGGGAAAAGAACTCATTCCTTCATGTATTATCGCTCCAGTTGACTCCATTTTATCGTACTGACCTTGGTGGTCGTTTCGAGGGATGACCATAAATATTTTTTTGAGCCAGCTAAGCNCAGCGGAATTTAAATCACCGCGCGAAAGGGTTAATCAATCAACCACTATGCCACGAATAACACATGCAGGACTGGGCGGTATAGCTTCAACATTCTTGGCCTTGGCACTAGACGAAGGTGAGTGGTCAGCTTCACACTACATTTGCTTTACCCCTGGGGAAACTGCTGCCAGTACCAACTGGACAGGAGGCTGGGTGGGCCCCAGAGCTGGTGTGGACGCTGTGGAGAAGAGAAAAATCTTTCCCCCTGCCAGGAATCGAATTCCGACAGTCAATCCCACAGTCTGTCATTATACTGACTGAACTCTCCCAACTTTAAGGACCAAAATCGTTGCTAAGCACTGAACTCTTGCTGGTCTGTTACTAGGAACAAGGTTCACATACATTTATGCACCAAATTTTACTTATTCAGCCATCACACATTAATTCTGCCAGTCCCTTTAATATCAAGAATTCTGAAATACTGAATTTTTCAGACATATGACATAAGTTCAACAGGGGATGAATCAATTGCAAGACTAACTACACAGGACATCAAAATACATATGCCTCAAGTAGGATGTTAACCCACACTTCCAGTGTTAAGAGTACCCCAAAATTGTATGAAATTACAGTATGGTAAAGTTGTCACTACGCTTAATTAAGCAAAACAGCATAATGCCATATGTGGGAGTGGAGGTACAGTTCCAGGCACTCTTAATTTTAGCTTTAGTTGGAGCTTTCTGGAGGGTAAAGGGCAGCTGGCATGTAAGGCTGACCTCACCGCCATCTGTGAGCTGACTGTCGAGAAGATGTGGGAGCCTCAACCTCTCACAACCCTATGGGTCTCCACAGCCTGTTACAGGGACAGCTTCTATTTTTTTTTCTTTTTTTGTCTGAGCTCCCTGTGACATTGCAGTATATGATGCTGTGGGATCTGTGTTTTGAGACTTTTTACGAATCAACAGCAAAGGGGCAGACAGAATCAGTGTTTGCAAGCAGTGGAATTATACATATGAAAAGTTGTAAAACGGCAGTGGTCCTCATAATCAAGCAAAGTTACTGGTATCTATTATGGGACGGTACCCAACTATCTGTTTTAAGATTCAGTACAGATGATAAAAGTTATGGAAATACTGAATGGTATTTTCAAAATGAAACACATTTAACCCTTTGGATTCTTCATTAAAAAAATGTTCCTTCCATTATCACCATAAATGTAAAATTCCCATCTAATAAAATAAAGATTGATAATATGTGACATGTTGTATGCATGGTACGGATAAGCAATGCATACATGGTTTTAGTTAGGGCACTACAGAGGAGGATGTGATGCATGGACTGGAGACAGGGCTCTTGTGAACATGATAATAAACCTCCAGATTTCATAGTAGCTTGAAATTCCTTAACCTGCTGAGGAACTATTGGCTTTATAAGAGGGACTCCACTCCACAGATGCGGTAAGTTTACTCTGCATTCTGCACACTGCTCTTCAACTGTCATGGAACCAATGGAAGTGATAAAACAAGAATATATTTCCCTCTCCTTCTATGATGACACTATTGTGCAACACTTGAGTCTGACCATACACTTCAAAAGAAATTCCACAAATAAAAAAGAACTGTATCTATTGCATGAGATATCTCATATAAACCACAAACTTTTCAGAAGCTGGAGCTGCTTATGTCATCAGGAAAAGTATGAAACCTACTTTTGGGTCTATCCTTGGGCAGGGATTAGACAAAGTGAATGGACCCAACAAAGTAGGTTTCACAATTATACATGAAGACTGAAGCAGAAAAGTTGCATTTCTTAACAAAACACAAGACAATGAAAAAGTCTTGGCACACCTGTCACAAACCTTTAGACTTATTTTGAAGGGTCTTTGGCTAGGACCTTATAAAAGTGTCAATATGTTTTAACCATACCTTATGCCACAGCATTCTTTCCTGTCACCTATGGTATGAAAGTTTCACGCAACCGAATTATATCCTGCCTCATGAACAACCATTGCTGTCTTATGTGATAAGGGGACTGAGTGAGGTAAGGTTCAATCTGGTTGCTGCTATCTGCTACCACTCAAGTTTCTCTGGGTAGTTCCCTGTAAGGCAGGCTGTACAGTGACCAACTTTACTTGCATTCTTCTCCGCAATCCCGTATGTCACAGCCTGAACCAAACCTTCTACTGAAAGGTATGCTAGACTATCCGCTCCTGAAAAGCACAAAATTGTAATTTATGGTACCTCATGATTTTATCTGATCTGATCTGATCGGTATTGATCTCAAATATGTTCTCTTCAGAGACCACACATACTCACATTTCTACCTGCTTTGAGATACTGTGTTCTCACAGTGGTGATTATGATGATAAGAGTCTTCCAGAATGTGACATAATGCAATATGGTAAATGTTTATGAAGTTTTGGAGAAACATGCGACCTCCATCTTAAAAATAGATTTGATTTTACTTACCAACATGTCTCGCCAACTTTACAGGGTCCAATTTGTTTGCAATAAGTTCTTCACGTGTTGGAATGTTAATACCCATGTAGCAAGGGTAGAGAAGAGGAGGTGATGCCACTCTTACATGAACCTGAAATAAAAAACAATTTCTTACAATTTTTTCACAAACTGTTGCTGTTCAGAAATGGCAGGTAGAAGGGTCACATTAACCACTAATTCTCAAAATTAACAGCATAACAAATGAAGGGCACTTTGTTTATTTAACATATAGTTATTAATCTGTTCTTAGTATGAAATCTAATTCTGAATTTCAAAATCATTTTTGTTAAAGCATAACATTCAGTTACGATTCCCATATTGGGGATTTTAACAGACAGGGCATTTCTAAATTGAAAAACAAATAAATAAGAAACATAACAAAAATAAGTCTCCTATCAATCACACTGCAGAAAACATCTGACACAAGAAACCATAATTAATATCAAAATAAAACAAAGCACAAGAGACTTAAACCTTTATATTAAAAATGTAAATGTTCCAAAGAATTTTAGTACAGAACTCCTAAAAAAAGTTTAACTGATGACCCACTAATATTAGTGACTGTAAATACAAACTGGGCACGTACATCTAAATACAAAGTAAGGCACAGACTGCAACCCCTGATGAACTTTAAAATTATTACAACAATAAAGAATATAGTAATCAATTGTTTTCTGTAGTATTCATAAAAGATGACTCCTTGTGGGGAGGGGGGGCATAACAGGCAAGGCAGGGTAACAACGAATGACAACAAAAAAAAACTGATAATATATTTGTTCAATTGTTACATTTTATTGTGATATTAGTTAGTTGATAATCAGTTATCTGAAAACTGCACAAGATATTGTTTTAATTTATACTTTTTCTTCAAATTGTAATCTTAATTCAGCAGTTGGTAAAGGAATATATTCTTACCTCCTTTGCACCAGCATCTCTCAGCAGCTTAATTATAGGACCGATAGTATTGCCCCGAACGATGGAGTCGTCAATCAGAATCAGCTTCTTGCCACATACATTTTCTGACAGGGCCCCAAACTTCTTAGCTACACCGAGCTGCCTAAGCCGTGTGCTGGGCTGAATGAATGTCCTCCCCACATAGCGATTTTTACAAAGCACCTCTGCAAAAGGTATCTTTGACTGAAAGCAAAAAATCATGGTAAATTCACCATCACCTAAAATGCCAACATACAGCAAAGATAAAGAAAGAAAGAAAAAAAAAGTAAAGGTATTCCTCTAACAGCACGTGGAGGCCCATAAGGTTGCAAGATGTTGAGGCTTCCACATTTTCTAGACAATCTGCTCATAGATGGTGGTAAGGTTGTCAGCCATACATGCCAGCCACCCTTTACTCCCAAGAATATTCCAAGAATATTCCTGATACTCATTTCTGTTAGAGGCTGAGTCGACCTAAGGGCCATAGTGCAGCTGGAAGGATTAGGTCAACTGAAAAATCCAATGACCTCATCGGGACCTGAACCAGCGACCTTCTAGCTTGTAGCATAGAGCCTCAACTAAACATGCTACAATAGTAAAAGAGACAAAATAATTTAAGATTGGAATCCTCTGGGATAGGACATGTCTGCTGTTCCCGAAATCGAAAGATTTACTTTGCCCAACATAACTTTCCAATGGTAAAGAGCTGGCTTACTTTTCAAATACACCTCAGAGACAGTTGCTACAATTTTATTAAGCAGTTCATTTAAGATAAAGTTCTTTCTACAACACTGCGAACTCAAATCCTCTTTACTTCTTCCATTTGGCTTCAAATAAGAATTGGAACCTTCTACCATGTTAACATGTGGTGCTTCATTAATATGACTTCTCTGACGATATGAACATCCAGTCACTTCTCTCTCATCAGTCTAATTGTGAAGTCTCACACACCTCCTTTGAGAAGCCATGAGCAGCTGCAGTTCCTGATTCGGGAACTGAGCTAACAATGTCGGCATTTATGCATGCCTCCCTTGCTAATACTCGTCCACACTGCATCCTCACAGAATACACCATCTGCCCTGAAAATAAAATCAACAGCTTAATTAAACTCCTAGCTTTTTTTTATTGCTAGTGGGGTGGGACTAAGTCCCTTGTACTGCGGCTACTTCTGGCCTATTGTACCAGCCCCAGATGATAGGTGAGGGTATTGTGGAGCGATTGGTGGAATGAAGATTGGTAAGGGAAACTGAAGTACTTGGAGAAAACCTGCCCCAGCACCACTTTGTCCACCACAAATCCCACTTTACCAGACCCGGGCCACCACAGTGGGAAGCCAGTGAATAACTGCTTGAGCTATGGCGTGGCCACAATTCCTAGCATAGTACACAGGCTAATCAGATGAAAACTCAAGCAGTAATAAATGTGAAATCTGATTCTCGATTTCAGATTCAATCCAATTTGTTCTATTTCACTATTTCTCATCTGGTGGTCAGTTAAACATCAATGTTTAATAAATTGGTCAGCAATATGTATTATATATATATATATTTATTGTGTGTGTACTTCTTTTCTTTTTTCTTATTTTTCTTTACTGGTGCTATAACCCTGTGTGGGGATCTTGGCCTCCTCCACAGGCTCTGAAAGTTTTGTAACAGCAGATTTTTCTGTGGAGGGGTTGTCAGCCCCATGCCCAACCTGGATGACCAAGGACTACACTTTGTCTGATCTCCACCCCCCAACCTGTCTGGCATGGGTGGTGCTACCAAGAGCTTATGCTTCCACCAGCAAAGCTCTCTAGATCATTGGATAAATTAGTAGTACTAGGTGGTTCAAATATGACCGGGACTGATTTTTGTGTAAACAAGCCGCACTGCGCAGCAGCTGTGCGACCTTGAAATTGTAGCCACAACCTCCACTCTCCTTCCTGTTAGGGTTAGAACCTGTTCAGTGCTGTCTGGGAGTTGCTAGAGGAATGAGCGTACAGAAGTTACCACGGACCGTGGAACAACGCATTGTGATCAAGTTCCTCGTTGGAGAAAACGTCCCGTCCGCTGAAATTCACCAGAGACTCCAACAACAGTATGGGGAAGAGTGTCTCTCACGGACCCGTGTGTTTGAGTGGTATAAGTGCTTCAGAGAAGGCAGAGAGCATGTGGAGAATGAACCGCATGATCCTCGGCCGTGAACATCCATCACCGAGCCAAATATTGATCGTGCAGACGTGCTTATTCATGAGAATAGGCGCATCACTATCAAGGAACTTGGAGTCATGCTGTCCATCAGTGTTGGTAGTGTAGAAGACATCGTGAAATACCACCTGCACTATCGCAAGGTGAATGCATGGTGGGTACCATGCACTTCGACGAACGTGAACAAAATGGTGCACATGCAAGTTGCCAGTTATCTCCTACAGCAGTTTGAAGATGAAGGTGATGCATTTTTGAAGTCTACAGTGACCACCGATGAAACGTGAGTGCACTACTTCATTCCCGAGTCCCAGCAGTCATCACGCGAGTGGCGGCATACCAGTTCTCCCAAACCCAACAGAGTGCGTAGGAGCCGTTCAGCAGGAAAAGTGATGGCAACGTTCTTCTGGGACTGGCAGGGGGTTATCCATGTAGACTTTCTGACAGATGCCAGAACAGTCAATGCAGGTTATTACTCAGACCTCCTGGCAACAGACGTGAAGGAAAAGATCCGATCCAAGCGGAAGACAGGTGGAAAGCGGGTAGCCTTCCTCCAAGACAATGCATGCCCCCATACGGCCAAAACAACAATAGAAACCCTTTGGAAACTGAACTGGAACCTTCTGACACATCCGCCGTACAGTCCCGATTTGGCCCCAAGTGATTTCTACCTGTTCAGAAGGCTCAATCAGACTTGCAAAGCATGTGATTTGTGGACGACGCCATCATCCAGACTGTTCGGGAGTGGATATGCCGCCAACCACAAGTCTTTTTTTTTGGTGGGGGGGCATCAGGATGCTTCCAGAAAGTTGGAAAAAATGTGTTGACTCCGGAGGGGAGTACGTTGAAGACTGACATGTGCAAGTAAGTGTTTGGCAATTATGTTTTTTTTTTTTTTAATCAATCCTGGTCATATTTGAACCACCTTGTATTTTGGGAGGATTATACACATATATTTTAACATACCTGAAATAATTACCATTGAATAACCTTATAATATTTTCATTCTTATTTCCTTTAAGAACTAAACAGTTTTTCTCCTTCTCACATTCTATGGAATATAATGGTGTAATCAGACTCTCATGTTAGGAAGAGGGCATGAATATTCTGAGGCTACTTACTGCAGCCCTCAGATGTCTGTGAATTATTTTTAACTGCAAACACTTTGTGTAATTTTCTGTCATCTTTAATTTTTAATATCAGAAATAAACAATATTCAGGCATGCTAGTATCAGTTACACCTGAAACAATATTCAGGCATGCTAGTATCAGTTACACCTGCAGACTATTATCTGTAGTGCACAATTTGAGAGAGACAAGGCAGGAGCTGTCAGAAAACCTACTGCTGATTAACATTTCAAGAATCACAGATCAAACTGTATGAGATCTGAGGTTCTTACAGCACCAACATCAAGATTACAGTCTTCTGAGATGTGACACCATGCAGTTCAACACACTGGTGTCATTTTGGAGGAACCTGCTGCCTCCATCTTTAGAATAAAGGAGTCACTTGTCTACCCTGAAAATGGTGGTACCAAGTGCCTGCAAAATGTTCATACTCACCTAATGAATTACACAGTTTTGTATTCCAAAAAACCATAACCTAGAGAAATGAATGTCTTATTTGATTAGTTTAACGCTTATCCTACGGGCATTTAAATTCCGGTAAAGTTAGCCGTACGCAATATATTTAAATACCCGCGATTAGAAATCCGTAAAAACTGTAGTCACTTACTAAATTTGCTCCTATTTCTGCAATTTCTGTGATAAACGAACGAAATAAACGCTGTTTTTTTTTTCTCTAAAGAATATAGAATCAGATATTGTAATTTACAGATTGTATAAAACATGTTAAAA